TTCAGCTGGAACTATTCAGAAAATCATTTTTTTTAAATCTAGAATTTCCCTTATTTTTAAAAAATATTTTATTTCTTTTTTTTGTATATGGGTGTATTGCTTGCATGTATGTAAGTGCACCCATGTTGTACAGTGCCTGCGGAGGTCAGAAGACGGCATTGGATCCCCCTGGAACTGGAATTATGGACAATTGTTAGCTGTTGTGTGGGTGCTGGAAATCAAACCCCAGTCTTCTGCAAGGGCAGGCAGTGCTCTTAACTGCTGAGCCATCTCTCCAGCCCGAATTCCCTGTATTTTTTAATGGATACATAACAATTACACATATTTATGGGGTACAATGTGGTTTTTTTCAATACACATACCCCATGTAAGGGTCATCAAATCAAGAAAAATTAGGATATACATCACCTCAAATGTTTGCTATTCCTTTGTGATAAAAATATTGGTGCTCCCCTCCCCTGGCTCCTTTGAAATGTGCCACGCTTTGTTACTGTTGTGGTAGTTAACGGCAGCCACTGCTGAGCAGTGAAACACTGTGATCTGTTCTCCCCAGTTCTTTTTTGTCCCACTGACCAGCCTCTCCCTGTGCTCCCTGCCCCTCAACCTTCCCCTCTCTGGTAATCTCTGTTCTACTCTGGACTATGAGATGGACTTTTCTAGGTTCCATGAGTGCGGTCACACTTCCTATGCCTGACTGATTTCACTTGATACAGTGCCCTCCAGGTCCATCCATATTATTGGAAGTGGCAGGATTTTATCTCTTTTATGGCTGAGTAGTATTCCATCATATATGCATACCATATTTTCTTCATCCAGGCATCTGTTGATAGACATTTAGGCCGACTCCATGCCCTGGCTGTTGAGAAAGGTGCGTTACTGGGTGTAGAAATGCAGAATTCTCTTGGACACAATCCTGTTTTCCTTCAGGAAAACAGTAACTAGTGCGTTACTAGGAGTTCTGTTTCTGGCTTTTGGGGGGACTCCACTACTGTCTTCCATCATGGCTTTGCTGGTCTATGCCCCCCACAGCAGTGGAGGGACACCCTTCTCCCCACATCTACACCACCACTTTGGCATTGTCTCCTTTTGGTAATCGTCACTCTAACTGGAGTGAGGTGGCAGCTGGCTGGGATGTGCCTGCATTCCCCAATGATCTGCAGTGCTGGTCACTTGGCCATGCACCTGGTGCCATTTGTATATCATCCTTTGGGAAATGTCCATCCAGGTCTTTTGCCCACTGGGACTCCTGAAATCAGCTTCTGGACAGCTTACTCTCTGAATGGTAAGGACTACCTCCTAACCTCACCATCTGTCTTTGCATCATCACACAGGGTTGTGTGTGAGGTGGTGCAAACGTGCGAAGGGCAAATGCATTGGGGTGAGATAGAGGTATACATGTATGTCCAGGCTGGTCGTGTGACCTCTTTGGGCAAGATATTTCACACCTGAGCTCAGGTCCTTCCTTTTTCAGACTATATGGCATCTTCTCATGGGTTGACTGTGACAAAGATGGAATGATTGTGCAGATAATGCCTGGTACAGGGCAAGTGTTCAACTGAATGGTACACTGTGTTTAACACATAGAGGGCCAAAGACTGTAGCTCCCCCCCCCCACCCCGTTTTGCTTTGCTCTGGGGCCTTAGTCCCTTGAGCATCTCTTCTGTCAATACTGTGAGGATACGGTGAAGGTCATTCGTTGCTGTAGACTGTAGGCTGATCCTTGTAGGTATTCTGTTCTTTGCCCATGGTCCCAAACTAGAAGGAAGAAGTGAATGTGCTGGTCAGTGATTTTTGAGTGAGACACACCCTTGACCTTCTCAGCACAGGGCTTACTTCAAGCCAATGCCCAAACCCTCAGAGCATCCCAGCAAGTACTGTGGTTGCCATGGAGATAGTAGCAGCATCCAAGTCAGCGCCTCACTCAGGCAGTGTTGGCAGCTCCTTTGGTGTAGCCTGTCTTGCCTGCCGATCTGGGGAGTTTGGAAGTTAATCATGCAGAGCTGCTAAAATTGTGTGTGTGTGTGTGTGTGTGTGTGTGTGTGTGTGTGTGTTTGGGAGGGTCCCCAAATCTGTTTGGGTATATACCAGTTAGGGTATTTGCCAGCTGGCTTGTTGGAGAAGGTACCCAGGTGGGGGAGGGCAGGAGAAGAGGTTCTGGATTGGGTGGGCAGTGTGATCATGAAACAGGGGTTAGGTGCTGGATAGAATGATGCATTTGAGCATGCCAGAGTTGATAGCCCCATTTTCCCAGCCCAAACCTAAAGCAGATCATTCAGCAAGGGGCTTTCTGGTTTGTGGATGATTTATAGGAGAAATCTCACAAAGATCAAAATTGGATCACATTTAGTTAAACATTTCATAGGTTCCTTTATTGGAAAGAATAAATTTATATGGAAATCTGGAATGATGGGGTGCAATCCATGGGGCCTAGAGAGGCCAGAGCCTGTGAGGGGAGGGGAGTGGGGCATAAGAGGACCAGCCCCCTATTCGTCCACCTTAGCCCTGCCTGGGCAGCTGTGTTATGGGGACCCAGTAAGGGTTACTTCCCTGGGGGAATGTGCCCCTGGCACACAGCAGGAGTAAAGTAATTGCAGAGTGAGAGAATGAATGAGAACATGCAGTCCTCTCTAAAGCAACTCCCTGGATGCCTCCTTATAACCCTGTCCTTACACATACACAGCCATACCGACCAGCAGAAGGTGACACTCACTGTGAGAGAAACCTCAAGCAGGAGGAGGAGCAGTACACTCCCAGACCCAAGTTCAGGTTGAGGACTCCAAAGCCAGTGATATCAACCACAGGAAACCTGAAAGAGGCCCACAGTCTCCAGTAGTCTGGCCCCTGGATGGGAGAACTGGACCGCTATCCTGCTGAACACATAAACAGACAGTTTAGCATAGACTGACCAAGGAAAGCCTGTCCTTTGGTCTAAAGCTAGAGAAAGACATTACCCCCTAGGCCTTTCCTCTGCTGGTTCCTTGGAGTAGAGACAGGGAGGAACAAGAAGACACAGCACCTTCCACAGGGACCTTGAGCTCCCCATGTGCTGAAAGCCTGGGTTTTACTTCTTTCCCTCGGAATCAGGGCACATCTCTGTTAGACTCTCTCTTGTCTGTGCGTCAGACACAGCTCACAACAGCATCAATCCAGGAGCTGCCCCAAGCCAATGTACTCCCTCATTTCAACCTCACAGACCTATAAGGTGGAAGCCAGTATTATCCCTGTTCAGATGAAGAAGCCAAGGGTCAGAGGGATTAGGTGAGTCTCCCAGAACCACACAGTGAATAAGGAGAGGAGGGTATTAGTGCACCTCTTTCAAGGGGCTTTACCTCTTCAGCCTGCCCATCTGTGGACAGCGTCCTCTGCTGTGTCCTCAGCAGCCTGGTCTCAGGGCTCCTTCCCAGGTTGCAGGAGCTACAGTCTGAATTCCTAACATATGTACCCACAGCGTGAAGTTCTAGCCTGGCCACAGGATGACCTGCCCTGGGGAATAGAGAATCCATGAATGGCTGGAGCCAGCAAGTGAATGAATGAGCTAACTGCTTAGTGGCATTGGGATGTCCCAGACAAGTCTTGAAGCAGGGCCTTAACAAAGGGGGGAGGGCATCACAAGGTTCCCTCAGGCCTAGAGAGTGGGTACCCATCTGGAACCTCTGCCAGTGCAGGCCAAGTTCTTTAGAACACAATTACAAATAGCCCCAACCTCTTGGGAGTTTTTAGTCTGGGCAGATGGGTGACAGTCACACAGAGAAGCCACCCAGGAAAAGGGACCTCTTCTGTGGGGCAGAGGGGGATGGCTAGAGTGTCACCATGGCCTTACCAGAGAAGCAGGTCCAGGAGAAGATGGCTGGGAGTCGGGGGTGGGGGGACAGCAGGTGGGGAGGGAGAGGAAGAGAGGCACTGAGAAACTGGAAGCAGGAGGGGGCGCTGTGATGTGTGGAACCCCAGGAAGACTGTGGGAAGGTGCAGCACAGAGTTCAGAGGCAGGAGGTGTGGTTTGCAAGGGAAGGACAGAGGCTGCAGGACCTCAGCAGGAGATCAGAATCACTTTATAATTTTTGCAAGTAGTTTAAATAAGTGTTTTTAATTTAGTACTTGGAATATTATTTTTAAATTGAATTATGTTTTAACACATTTGTCCCTTTAAAAAAAAAACACAAAACAACCCTTGAATCATTGCCATTGAAAGTCGGGATGTGATGATTAGAATAGAACCAAACTATAAAAATAAGTACAAAGTGGACCAATGGGATGGCTCAGCGGGCAAAGGCTCTTGCCTCACCAGCCAAATGACCCTAGTTCAATCCACAGAACCCACATAGAGATGGAGAGAACTGACTTCCCAGGGTTGTCCTCTGACCTCCACATGCATGCCATGGTATGCATGTGCACACACACGCATACACACACACTAATAATAATAACAATAAATAATTTATAAAATAAGCACAAAGGAAATCAACAAGCCTACTGAGTCCTGCCGGGATTCTGTTCCCTTTGGAAGGCTTTGTTAAAAGGGAAAATGAGGGCTAGCGATTGAAATTCTGGCTTAGTTGGTAGAGCGCTTACCTACCATTCACAAAGCCCTAGCTTTGAACCCCAGCACCACCGCATAAACCAGGTGTGATGTGCCCTGTAATCCCAGCACTCAGGAGCTAGAGGCAGGAGGATCAGAATTTGAGACCATCTTTAGCTACATACGGAGTTCAAAGCCAGCATGGGCTACATGAAGCCCTGCCTTAAAAAAAGAAAAGTTTTTTTTAAGGAAAATGAGTATTAGATGTTAAACATGTGTGAGCCCCAGGACTTTATTCCTGGCTCAGACAGAGGGCTGGACAGAGCCTGGGGAGGGACCATGCTCTATCTGATTCCAAGACACTAGTGCCCTTGCCAGTGTCCTCTAAGGGTCTGGTCAGTTCGTCTTCCTCCAGGGAAGCACATGTCAAAACTGTATATCGCCCCCTGCCAGCCCATCATATCCCTGGGCTTCTCTCTTGCAGGGAATACCAACAGCATTTTTGCCCTGGACTACATCAGCGGAGCACTCACCCTGAACGGCCTGCTGGACCGAGAGAATCCCCTGTACAGCCACGGCTTCATCCTGACGGTGAAGGTGAGGCTGGGCCTGTAGGCAGCACACCTGCTGGATAGCCATGGGGCCTGAGGCACAGGACACAGGAGGGGCCTGGCGGCTATCAGGGCAGGTCTGCCTGGCACTTCACACCCACTACTGATGCCTGTACCAGCTGGAACTTTTATTCCCCTTGCAGGGTTAATTCCTCAGTTTAGGAGACAGCAGGCTCCAGGGGACAGGACAGAGGGTAGGATCCCTACCCAGAGAGTATGGAAGAGCTACAAATGCTGCTCCTTGTAGCTACCTGCCACTCATGGTCATTTTTAATTGAAACCAGTGGCTTACTAAGCCAGTTCTCTGGGTATGGATCCTGGAAGAGATGAGGGATACAAAGTCCTGCCAAGTCCCAGCCATGTATCAGTGGGGGTGGGGAGAGGACAAAGGCAGGCGACGGAACCAGGGAAGGATCAGCATGGGGAGATGCAATGCAGGTTGGCCCGGCATGGCACCCTTGGCCTTAAGAAGGCCTCCCTTGGCCTGATTCAGGGATGGACCTTTTGGTCCTCACTGCCCACCAGCTCCTTCCTAACATGAGCACCTAGCTCCCTAGCCCCAAGCCCCTCTCAGACCTCCTCCTTATCCTGCTTCCCTCCCAAGGAGGCCAGGGGGTCTGCTCAGGAGAAAGAATGTCGCTCTCTAGGCCCAGTCTTACCACTACCTCACGCAAAGGCCCTGAGCTCTGTGGTCCCACATTTATATAAAATGCAAGATGGGCTCCCCAGTCGAATTGGGCACCTCTGCCCCTGAGGCTGAAGGGAGACACTTCCCAGGTCTTACTCAGAGGGTCTGGTGTAGAAAATTAGAGTCAGAACTTGAAAATGGGTTCTGGACCCCCAGAATCTAGATCCCCCCTTCTGTTCCTGTATCAGACCCAGACCCCCAGGACCCATGATGGGGGCTAGTCTTGATCCATCAACACAGACCTTGCTTCCATTTCTGATAAACTGATCAGACTCTTCCCTATACCCCTTAGTGGGCGCCACATCTCTCTGTCCTCCTGTCCATCTTCTTGATGGTTCTAGAATCCCACTGCCTGAACTTGAGGCCTACTCAGGTCATTCTTCCCCATAGAAGTCATTTCCCCTCTGACCCTCAGTTTCCTCATCTTTAACATGGGGTGTTGAAGGTCAAACCTTCTTCCTGAGCCTATGGTGGGGATTTGGTAGGACAGTGCACACGGATGCATGCTGTTGAGAATGTCCTGGGTGAGTAACTGCTGTTCTTGTGGCTGTGGCCTTGGATGACTGTCCTCTGTCTACAGGGCACTGAGTTGAACGATGACCGAACCCCATCCGATGCCACAGTCACCACTACCTTCAACATCCTGGTTATCGATATCAATGATAATGCCCCAGAATTCAACAGCTCTGAGTACAGTGTGGCCATCACTGAGCTGGCACAGGTTGGCTTTGCCCTCCCTCTCTTCATCCAGGTGGTGGACAAGGATGAGGTAAGTCACCAGAGCACATGGAGGTGCCAGGAGTCTCTGGGCTACCAGATCCTCAGAAAGCAGAAACAGACATCACTGTGTGCCCTCCCCTGCTATGGGGTAGTCCCTAAGTTGTCATTTGTGTCCTTGGAAAATACTTATGCACACTTCCAATACAAGGCCATTTATTCAGAGGAATGTGGCCATTGGACGGATCTAAGACAGACCTAGCAACACATACCTAAAAATAGACACTTTTTCAAACAAAAATAAACCTGGAGTGTGCTCTCAATACCTGAATGATCACCTCATGTCCTGCCTGGGATGTGTGTGTCCTGCTTAAAGGCTCCTGTATAAAGGCTGACACCACCTTTGGGCATAATAGTGTCCCCTTTTCCACATGAAGATCAACCTCTCTCATCTTCCTGGCTCCTATGGGCTGCTCCCAGCACAACCCAGCTACAGTCAGCAACCCCCCCCATGTGTGTGTGTGTGTGTTGTGTGTGTGTGTGTGTGTGTTGTGTGTGTGTGTGTGTGTATGTATGTGTATACAGTTTACCTAAAGCTAGATTCCACTCATTGGGGGAACAAAGTATAAACCAGGGTTCCTATTCCAAGGGGCCAGTCATGTGTTTACACAATATACTGGTATTGTGTACATTTTAAGTAGCTACAAAAGGTAGAGAGATAGGCTTGGGTGTGGTTTAGCTGGTAGAGGGCTTGCCTAGCATGCACAAGGCGCAAGTTCAATGCTGAGTACCATATAAACTGGGCATGTCCCAGCACTTGGGAGGCAGAGGCAGGTGAATCTCTGTGAGATCAAAGCCAGCCTGGTTTACATAGCAAGTTCCAGGCCATCTGGGGCTACATGGAGACCCTGTTTCAAAAAGGGGAAAAAAAATTCAAGTTCATCTTCAGCTTCATAACAAGTTTAAGGCCAGCCTGGGCTACATAATACATACCCGGTCGATGGATGGATGGATGGATGGATGGATGATAGATAGATAGATAGATAGATAGATAGATAGATAGATAGATGATAGATGATAGATTGCTAGTAAATAGAGAGATGATATAGATATATATAAGCAGGTATAAAAACCAGTTCTAGCATTTTCTCACACTCCTATGGGTCATTCTATACCCTCCAGAGTGCTGGCAATGCCTCCCATGTGAATATAATACACACTATGTGAATGAAGACCTCATGGCCAAGTCCCATTCCTGGTTTCCCAAGAATAGTGACACCTTACAAACAAGAAATACCCATCCAAGGAGCAGGGACCATAGGCTGTGAAGGGTCAGCCAAGGAGCAGGCACTGGACTAGAGAATCAACAGGGCTTCATGGGGAGAGGAGCCATGGGCCATGGCCCACAGAGGCCCAGAAGCAAGAAACTGCAATCAGATGGCAAAGCAAGTGGTGACCCACACAGGCAACCATAGGGTTTGTGTCGTGGAGAGATGAGCAGGAGAGCCCGGACTCAGGCAGGAGGGCTGGGACTCAGGCAGGTGGCTTGCATCCGATCTTAGGGGGCACATAGGCTCTGTGCCCAAGGGGCATGGGTTTAAGTCCATGCTTACTAAATCCTGTGGCCTAGAGGAATTAATGACTCTCTCAGAACCTCCCATGCACATGGTATTTAAGAAGAAAGAAGACTGTATCTATTAGTCTCTACCCCAGGCTAACCCCCAGGCATAAACTGATTCTGACTGGGCCATCTGGGGTGATTGCTCTGAGTGGATATTTCAGGACTCTGTCTGCAGCTTCTTGGCTGCATGAGGGGTGAGGGGCAGTTATAGGGTGAGACCTGCTCCTCTATGCTGCATCCTAGAGTGAACTGTGACTGCTTCCCACTAGACACTCAGCCAGAGTTAGTCTCAGGTCCCCACCTTACTGCCTGAAGTCTGGGCAGTGTGGAGAGGCAGCTAAATCCATGTCAGCTCCAAAGGACATGAGCCAGGTAGAAGACAAAGGGGCATGTACAGGGCTTGGCTCAGCACCTGCCACAAGGACCCTGACTACCCTCACTGTCCCCAAGGTTCAGTTCCCCAATGAGGACAGCCTCAGCACTGCTCAGCACAGCTGCCTGGGGGTCGCCAAGGTCACCCTCACCCTGGGGATCTCTACAGGTTCCCTTCTGTCTGATGTGTCTGTAGGGATATTTTATCAGTTACTTTTCTCTCATTACTGTAACAAAATGCCTGACAGTTTATTTTGGCTCTCAGTTTGAGGGTCCCTCATGTTGGGGAAGGGGTGGTGACAGGAGCCTGAGGCAGCTGGCCACACTGTGTCAGTCAGGCAACAGAGGGATGAATGGGGATGCTCAGCTCACGTTCTCCTTTATATTCAGTCCAGGCTCCCAGCCCAGGGGATGGTGCCGCCCACATTCAGGGTGAGTCTTTCCTCCTTAGTTAGACCTTTCTGGGAATACTTTTATACACCCAGAGATGTGTTTCTATGGTGATTCTAAAGTCTGTCAAGTTGACAATGAATATAAGCCGTGAGAGTTGTAGAGGAGTGTTGGGTCCCAACCTGCCTCTAGTGACCACCCCACCTAGCATAGTAGCAGGTGGCATTTGAAGTGACAGTGGCCTTTCCTGTGTTCCGTCACTGCTTCCCCATAGAGGTGACCTGTGTCTCTGATGGAGAAGGACTGGCACTGTCTCCTCAAGATCCTGCTCTTCCAGGGCTTAGTGACAAACAGAGAGGACAAATGAGGAGAGGCAGCCCAGAGGCCCTGAGGTCACCCAGCCACCCTCCAGTCTCTACTGGGCCCTGCATGTGGCTGGGCTCAGCCCTCAAGGACAAGGAGCAAGCATCACTTCCTGCTACCGACATGGCTATCCTGTATCCATCTTTCCTGCCACCCCCCGCATTCTAAGGGTCTCAGATGTAGCTGGGGAACAGTACCCAAAGCTAGGGCCCTGGTGCTGAGGAAGAACGCTGCAACAGTGACAGAGGCTGAGGGTTTAGGCACACTGTGGCAGGGACAGAAGGTATAGGCTGTGACATGGGCCACACAGTGTCCAGAACCTGGAGAAAGGCAGGTACCTCTGGGCCCAACCAGGTGGCTGTGGGGAAGAGGGCTTTGGGACACCACCTTGCTGTGTCCCTTCTGAGAACATGCATGTTGGGGTTTGTGTCTGGGTTCAAGGTGACTATGGATTTGCTTGATGTGGAAGAAATACATTTATTCGTGTTTGCATGTATGTTCATGGATGTGTGCATGTGTCAAGGCGCATGTGTGGAGATCAGAGGACAACTTGCGGGAGTTAGCCCTCTCTTTCCACCATGTGAGTCCTGGGGATCAAACACGGGTCCTCAGGCTTGGTGGCAAGTGCTTTCCTTCTTGCCAGTCAAACAGCAAATTTGTAGGGTGGGAAGAGGGCACATGAAGAGGGCAGGCCCCCTTGTCATAGGCTCTGCAGGACCCAGGGGCAGGCTCTGGATGGCCCCATGACTGTGATCATGTGATTGTGAGTGTACTGTCTCCCTGAACCCCAACTTCCAGTCATACCGTGAGATTCAAAGACTGTCGGGTCCAGGGGTTGTGGGGTCCACAGGATGCAAGGTCTGCAGGCCAGGACCAGAGTGGGTTTGATCAGCAGGATTCTGCATCTAAATTTCAGGGCAGTAGAGGGTGATGACAAAAACAAAAAGAGAAGCAGAAAACAGTTTAACAGCTCAGTGGGAGGGTTGGTGGTTGGCATTCCTACTTAGGATGCTAATCTATCAGAAAAACTAGATGAGTCTATAGCATCCCAGATCCAGGATTCTGCACAGCCTCTCACTGGACATGAGGCTCCCCCAGGCCAGGCCTGGAAACCAATGGGCTGGAAAGAGACCCTTTTTATTCCCAAGGACTCCCCCACATCAGCCAGTCTTCAGGGTAATTTCTTCACCTTTGCCTGGCTATAGAAAACTCACAGAAGGCTGGGAAGAAAGGACTGGGGTGGGCTGGAGCCAGAAGCAGTTCAATTTTGTCCTGTGTGACAGTTGAGATGCAAATAGATGGTTGGGATGCAGATTCTGGGGGAGAAAAGGAAAGGAAAGGAAAACCCTGAAAGCAAAAGTGTGGAAGTCAGCCTCTGTGGGGACTCATCTCTGAGATTCAAATGAAAGGTCGTGGCAATGTCACCCTCTGCACCCTACAATTTTGAACGCCCACCCCCACACCCCAGAGCTCTAGGGAGCCACAGTAAATAACCCAGGAGGGCTTCTGTCTGGGTTCCCAGTCACCCCTTTCCTGCCCTGGGAGATTTCTCCAGTGCAATCCTGAAGTCTTCCTCTCTGGGCTAACCTACTGCCCCAGGTACCTTCCTGAGCTGAGGGGTCCCTAAAAGCCTGACACCTCACCACACAAGAGGGCTCCTTGGGAGACTGGCCCCTTCTGTTCACCTCAACCACCCTTCTACATAGATGCCAGGAAGCTATGTTGGAATCCCTTTCTGGAGGGTCAAACTAACAGAGGGCGTGGCAAGACCAAGGTGCTTCACCAATTCCAGCCAGAGGTAGTCTAACCAAGCCTGTGCTTCTACGGGACTCGTCCAGCTGCCCTAGGCTGGGGAAAGTGGAAAGTGATAGCAGCTTGTGCCCAACAGAAAGCTGTCCCTTTCCCAGCACCAGAGCTGGTGCAGGACCAGCTGGAACCAGCCTTCTTTTTTCTGTTTCCGTTTTTATTTTTGTATTTGAGACAGGGTCTTGCTATATAGCCCAGGCTTTCCTGGAAGCAGTAATCCTCCTGCCTCTACCTCCCAAGTGCTAGGATTGCAGGAATGGGTGGGTGGGTGCTCCTCCGAGCCTGGCTTCCGGCACTCTTACAGTGCAACTCTGCTGTCTAGTGGACAGTGCCTCCCAGAATGAGCAGACCCCGAGTCGCATCTTGGTCTTAGTAACTTACCTTTTTCATGTATGCAACAACATACATGACAAAAGCAACTTATAAGAGGAAGGGTCACAGTTGGAGGGGACAGTCCATCATAGCAGGGAAGGCATGGTGTTAGGAATGTGAGGCCGCTG